TCTTATCTTGAGACTCAATTTCTTAACTAGTGAGTCTTGTATTCTTTTTGATTGAATTGCTTAATTCAGAAGTAACTCATTAGCTTTTATATATACATGACTGATCTCTTTCAATCTTGATTCTACATTCATGACTGTTGCATCTGCAACTGCTACTGCTGTATTCATAACTGTCATTCTCTCTCTTATCTTTTTCAAAGCATTCTGTAAGATGCGCGGATGCAATTCATACAACAGATAGAATAATGAACACTTGAAGACTGCATGCTGCTGAATTTGTGTGACTAATAGCACCTGACTGAGATATTCATCTCATAATCTCATAGACTTACTCACTAGATATTTTATCAGCATGTTGCTCAAGATTTTATTCAAGTGTTTCACTTTTCTATTTATCTGTGAATGATATAATGTTGTTCTACAATGTCTTGTCTGTAACTGACTCATGAAATGCCTCATCACTTCTTCTATAAGATTCACACTGTTATTAGTTAGAATCTCATGTGATATTCTATAGTTGATATAGATCTCATTATGTAGAAACTTTGTCACTATCTTCTCTATTGTCTCTGAAACTGCTTTCACAACTGATCAGTCAGTAGTATAATCAATAGCAGTGATTATTCATTGATTATTCATTTGATATTCATGATAATATGTCTATAAGATTCACTTCTCATTATTCAAATGATTGTATCATATACTTCATCTGATATTACACTTTCTCATATTCTAACCCTTTCTTAGATTCTTTTGTAACCTGATAATTTGAGCACTCATGAGCATATATCTGAATGTTCTCAGTCATGCTTGACTAGTATACTCTTGATTTGAGTACACTCATGAGTTCAGAGCTTTCTAAGTGACTGAATTCCTTGTGCATGTGAGTCATCAAGTCATGTCTAAATGAATATTCTAGATAGAGAGCTTTCACATATTCTAGATCACAGTAAAGCATAACATCATTTTTCAATTTTCTCAGCTTGAAGTTCAGAAGCATCTCTTCTACTACTTTCATAAGATGCTTATCATCTGACATCTTGTCATTCTTTAAGCAAGAGATCATTGTGTTCACTCATTCTGATTCCTTGCACTCTCTCAGTATATTTAATGTGAACTTCTCTTATGTCTGGTTTGCAGAACTCTCATTCATGAAATCAGATCTGTAACTGATTACATCAGATATCACAGTATTCAATCTCTTTCAGTATTTAATATGAAGATTATATACTTAAAACTCTAAGATTCAATATGCTAAGTGTTTGAAAGGTTTTATTATTAATTGTAGATAGATGAGACTTTTGTAATCTGTGATCACTGTTATTGTATATCTGTTATTGATATATCTATTTCACAATGCTAGCACATGCTTGATCACTAGCAATTTCTTTTCATATACTGAGTAATTGAGCTCAGCATCTGATAGTTTTCTATCATTATACATTACTAATTACAGCTTATTATTCTTACTCATCTGTAGAAGAGTGCCTCTGATAGCTTATTTAGATATATTCATCTCAATGTAGAAAGATTTATCATAATCTGATTGAATAAGCACTGAGAATATTATTACACATTCTCTCAGTGTGAGAAAAGCCTCTTCACATATAATATTTCAGATGATTGAATAAAACTTCTTCTTTCACAGATTTGCATTCATTTCTCTTAAGAGATCTGAGAGTGATGTAGATATTTGTATGAAATTCTTGATAAATCTGCAGTAATATGAGATTAACTCAAGAAACTATTATACATAATGTACATTTCTCAGTCACAGTTAATTCACTATAATATTCAATCTCTTTAGAATGAGATATATACAGTCATCACTTACTACATGTTCTATGAACTCTAACTCTTCTATTTCAAACACATACTTTGTTGATTTGATATAGAGCTTATACTCTGTCAGAGTTGTAAGCACTTTATCAAGATACTTCAGATGTTCATCATATAAGTTTGAAAAGACTAGAATGTCATTGAGATATATAAGATATGAGGTTTCATTCTGTTTATAAAGAATCATATTCATTATCATTTGAAAGATGATAGATGCATTTATTAGACTGAATAATATTATCAGGAATTCAAACTTCTCTCATTGTATATTAAACACAGTTCATGAAACTGACAGTTCATCTACATGAATCTGTCAGTATTCTGAGAGAAGATTGATCTTTGATAGATATCAGACATTTTCAACTGTATTCAACTGTTGTTGAATTCATAGCAGTGAATATTCATTCTTAATTATAAGCTTATTAAGTGCTTGATAATTGATACATATTCATCACTTCTCATCTGTCTTTTTCATGAATAGAACTGGAAAGCTCCATGCACTTGATGAGAATTATATGAGATCATATTCTAGAAGGTCTGTGATCTGACACTTCTGTTCTTCAAGATATGTTTGTGACAGAGGGTATGCATTCTGATTGACTGATTTTGTGTCCCTTATATCAATCTCATGTACAAATCCTTGTTCTGACAGTAATTTCAGTGAAAGATCTGTTCAGAAGATCTTCTCATACTTCTTCAGAAGCTTCTTCATACACTTGTTCTTCTGTATATTCTTTATCTTGATTTTCTTCACTTCTGAGTTCTATATAACATACAGAATGCTTTCAGATGAGATCTTGTAAATCATTCTCTTTACTTATTGATATATAAGCAGATTTAATTCTTCTATATCAGAGATATGAAATGTCCTTCTCATATCAGTTGATAGAATTGTATGAACTGTTTTCTTTCTATCAGTTAACTGCATATAACATATACATCATTGAATCTGTGAATTGAACCTTTAAAATTAATCAAGTCTGAGAATAAGATTGTATTTCACATTCTGCAGCTCTCACACTCAAATATAGCAAGATCATTCTTCAAAGTGCAAGGGAACTCTTACTCTTACAGGTGATATTAAATACTAATTATCAGATAATCTTATACATTGAGAATTCTTCACTCAGTGAATCTCTTTCAGTCTTCAGATTATATGATTATCAATATATTGTATAGAAGCTTCTGTATCTGCTAATACTTTTGTAATCATCTCTTAATTCTTATTCAAGTGCCTCTTATACATTAACATTTCAGATCTCAAGATATTGAGATAAATGTTCACTTCATCATTCTCATCTGCATCTCATTCAGAAGCCTGCTTTCTCTTGATATTCACAGAATTCAGAGAGTCATCTAACACAGACATCTCTTTCACTTTGAAGACTTTTCATAGAATATCAGTGAGTATCTTCAAGCTCACTGATTCTGCTAGTTTTTTGACTCTCTTACTTCTCTTGACTGTATACACTGTGTGCATTCTTTTACATCATGATTTTGATATCTGCAGTTAAAGCAAGCTTGATGCTTATAATATTAAGATTTTCATTCAGAGGATTTCTTTTTCAGAGAATTCAGTGCTTTAGTGATAGTATTCAGATCTAGATTTATTGTATTTAAGTGTATAAGTTGTGTTATAGAAGTCTGATTATTCATTCTTCACTGAGATATACTTAATTACAGTATTTTCTGTCACAATTGACTTGCTTGTTTCTGTATGATGAGAATATTATATGCTTCTTTCACTGTGTCTGATTACAAGGTTAAGCATTTTCATTCTACTCTTAACTCAGATATAAGATCATGAATAAAGATCTATAAACAGAAAGATATTGAAAGCTCTTCATTCAATATAAGATAGTATAAACTGAAGTGTGTAAAGTATGATATAAGATTACTCACTTGTCTACACTCAGTGAAGTGTTTGTAATACTTATCTTATACATTCACTTTCTCAAAGTTATGCAAGATTCATTTGAAAAACTCATTTCATATTTATAAGAATGAATATCACTCTGAGTCTGTAAGATTTATCTTTTTATCAGTCATTTATAATGACTTTGCTTTTTCATGTAGAAATGTGACAGATCTTAAGACTTGTTAAAATTTTATTAACTATCTATCTATAAGTTCATGTTCAATTCAATAATATAATTACATCTGACTTAGTCAGGTGATTGCAGCATTATTTTTTCAGTTGCTATTAAAGCTTAATAACTTCAGCAGATCTTCTGACTTAATATATTTCATACTTAAATTCTCATTCTGTGCAGTGATTTCTGATAATATGTACACTTCTGAAGAGATTATGAACAATTATGATGAGATCTTCAGATTCAGTATAGTCATCTATCTGTATAAACATTCAATCTCTCACTATAGATTCAAGACCTGGTTTTCTCTATTCTTATTAATGATGATAATTGCATCAGTAAAGCTCTTCATAGTGAATACTTGATTCACAGTGAATGTCAATTGTTATTTAACTTTCATCTCAGTCTGTCACTGTGTATGCAAGATCTCAATCTTATTTAGAATTCTCATATATATACAGAGCTTCAATTTCGGTTCAGCAGTTTCAGTCACTTTTCTTATCACTTTGAGTAAACTCTCTGAGAGGTTCTGCATATCTTTCAGTTCAGATAGCAGAGAAGAATGTTGTTTGTATTGACTAGAGAAGATATTCATTTCAGTGATTTCTCATTGATTATATGATGTCTATTGTTATATCACTATATTGTTATATCACTATATTATTATATGATTTCTGTTATTATTGTATAACTTCAGTGATAATCACTCTTTCTTTTTATTCTTCTTTTAAGTAGAAAGCAGACTTCTTTGAATCTGGTTCATCACTCTCATTCTCTTTCTCACATCTCATCTGTTCACATCCCATACATGACATTCGCCTGTGTGTGGAGTTTTTCTCTCAACAAGTGAAGCAGCATCAATCAGATGCTCTTTCACTCACTGCTCTTTATACACTATCTTTTGAGATGTTCTAGAACCACACTGACATGATAACTACAAATTACTTCATAGACAGAATTATCACACTCTGAAGAAGCCTGTGCTTCTCACTGGTTTTTAGACATGCTATCAGATGTGATTCAAAGATTGCTTGAGTCAGTGTATGATTACACATGAAAACTACACTTCTCACCACCGCTCCACCACGAACTCGCTCGATTTTTCGAATAAGAACCCGCCGATAGATCCATCGAAAAGCCCTCGATCATACGAGCATTTTGACCCCATCGCCGACCGCATACCCCGTGTGGTGGTGGAGTTATCCAGCCAAACGTGAACCAGACGTCGTTCGGAACTCCTGCGTGGGATTATCCCCCATTCTCCCCTACCACACCACAACCCCGGGCCAAATTGCCATACAAATTGTAAGGTGAATAGACCTAGCCATATGCACCAATCTTCTCGATTTTGGAAGATCCCCGATCTGTAGTTGTGGAGATATCTGAGGAGCGACCTCCGCGAAAACCCTGTCCATCTTTGATGTTCCAAAACATCAACGCCAAGTCTCACCCTCGTACCGCCCCTCTCAATCTGGCCCATCCCCGACAGAAAAATACAAAAAGATACCTCGGTGATAATATCAAGCACATAATCAACAGCCACTTCTGAAGTGCAACCTCCGCGGTCTGTCTTCAGTGTATCTAGACATCAACGCCAAGTCTCACCCTCATACCACTCCTCTCAATCTGGCCTATCCCCGACAGAAAAGTACAAAAAGATACCTCAGCAACTGTACTCAATACATAATCAGCAGACACAACAACTATAAAATCAGTATATCTCAAGGTCTGACTGAGCCTTTGATCCCTGCACAGTGAGATATATTAAATCTAGTTTTAATATCTCAATATTCAATAGATTCTGCAAGGGATTGAGAACAGCAACACTAGGTTTCTATTGAATTTGAGAATTAACTCTATATTGATATAATTATTGACAAAGTCTTCTATTTTGAGATATAAATAATCAGTTCCTCTACATCCCGCTGACAATATTTACATTATTATATAGAAATAGACTTATATTCTCTATAATATCAAGACTCTGAAGAGAGAAAGTCTTGATAGAGAGTATACAGTAGTGCATATCTTAGCAGTTTCTATCTTATTCTTCTGCAGCAGTTAATGCAAAAAAAAAGATTTTAGAAATAGTTTTTTACTTCTCTTGAAAAAGTAAGATGTTTTTCTCTGAGTTTTATACAATATTCTTACAAAGAATTAAAAACAGAGTTGTTTTCTGTCATAATTTCATATTCTTTTAAGTAAGAATTACTTTTTCAGTGACTGAAGAGTTTTCATTAATACTTAATTCTTTTTTACACTCTTTATTAACTGGTTTGAGTTGCACACTTGTTGTGTGAGAAGAATTGAATAATTTAGAATAAAATTGAATAGTTTTAATCAATTTCTCTGCAAAAAATTGATTTATTTTTTATCAGTTTTTCTCTCAAAAACTGTCATATTATCTGATTTACTATCAATTAATATCATACTTTTTCTCACTGTATCTCAAGAAAGAGATTGTAAAGATTTTATTGATTTATCTTAAAAATTAATTTTAGTTTATTAGATTCTCTTCAAAAATCTAATCTAGTTACTGAACTAGTGTGAAAAAAATCAGGTGTTTTATACACAAAAGTCTGTTATTCTTCTTTTGAAATAGTCTGACTAACTTTTCAATTGAAAACAGACTTAGAAACCTCTTAATTGAAACAGTCTGATCAACTTTTCAATTCAAAAAGAGTTTAATAAATATCTCAATTAAATTAGTCTGACCAACTTTTCATTGAGTAAGAACAATGAGTTTGAAAGTACACTCAGTTGATGTGAAAAAGAATGCTTTCTCAAATGCTATTCCTGAGATTGAAATTCTGAAGAGAAGAAAGAAAGAAGAAATAGAGAAACAACAAGTTCTTGAAATACAGAAACTTGAAAAAGCAAGTAAAATTCTTGAAAAGCAGTATCTGAGTGAGATGAATGAAGAAGTTCTGCTAATTCTTCATGCTCAGGCTAGACAACTACAGAAAGTGATCAAGTTCAAACTTGGAATTTCAAACACAGTTCAAAAAACTTTAAAAATTTCTAATACAATCACTGACTCTTCAGTTTGCTCTTCTTTCTTTTCTACTTCTTCTTCTTCTTCTTCTTTAAATCAGAAGAAAACATATGCTCAAGCAGCTGAATCTGCTATCTCTAAACCTGATATCTCTAAATCTGCTATCTTAAAACCTGCTCAAAATTCTGAGAAAACTGAGAAGAATACTGCTCATACTTCTAGTGATAGAAGAGTGAAGAAAAAAATGCAAAAAGAGAAAAATCTTCAAATCTTCAGAAATAGAAGACTTATTCTCAAAGTCTCAAATCAGGACATATTGCAGAGAAATAAGCTAAACTCAAACCTCATTTTCAGAATTAGAAATGAAATCAATCAGCAGTTCTTTTCTCAGTTAATGACTGATATTGAAGTTCAAAAATCAGTTATAGCTTCAATTGAGCCATTCTTCTTTGAAAACTCCATCATCATGATCACAATGCCTGAATTCAGTGCAGAATTCCTTATTCAGAATAAGAATCTCTGAAAATCGGCAGTAGAATCTTTGTTAAACACAATAATTCTATCTGAGAGAGATGAAAAGTGAGATAAATTCATTCTTCATGATATTTCAGTTGAAATTTTTGACTGTGAAGAAGAAATGCTACTTCTTAAAAATGAATTAGAAGAATATAACTCCATTCAACTGAGAAAAGAGCCTGTATGACTAAATTCAATTGAGTTCAGATAAAGCAGAAGAAATGCCTCTGTTCTAGTATATATAAAGACAATTGAACAGTCAAAGATCTCTGAAGTAAGAGTAGCAGATTTGAAAATGAGAGTTCATGAATACAAAGACTCAAGAATGAATCTCAAAGCTCAAACACAGTGTTAAAACTGTCAAAGATATGAACACTTTGCAATCTCCTGTTTCAGAGACTCAAAATGTGCATTCTGTGCTAGAGATCACAAAACTAGTGAGTATAAATATGAAATATGCTCAAAAAGAGATGAAATATGTCAACACACTCTGCTTAAATGCTCTAATTGCAAAGAAAAACATGCATCTAGCTCAAAAGAATGTATGTTTGCTTCAAGAACTCAAAAGAACTGAAGAAAAGATGAAGCTCAATGTAAATCTAGAACTGAAGAGAATAGTCAAGTCAGTAAACTCACAACTGTAAGCTTAAAAAGAAGAAACTCTCAACTATTTAGATCTTCAAACTTCAATTCTCCAGCTAAATGTAAACAGAATTTGAATTCTCAAACTTCTGTTAAGATTAGAGAATTGAGAAATGACTCTGATGATAAACTAGATATAATATAAGCAGTTGAGATTTCTACTTTTCAGAACAGTTATAATCTACTATCTGATAATAGTGATTAGATTCTACTCTACTCTCTTTTAGTATGAATATACAACAAAAACAACAAAAAAAGTTTAAAAACTCTTCAAAAATCACATTTATTCAAAATAATGTGAATAGAAACTCAAATTGCATTTATTCTTGTCTTCAAATTGCATTTGAATAAAAAGTTGATTTTATACTGCTTCAGAAGCTGAATTTTAATGCTGAGTAAAAATATGTCATTTCTCATTCAAGCTACTACTGCTTTTTATCTCAAAAGTCTGAGATAAAGTCAAGAGTAGTGATCTATGAAAGAAACAGATCAAGATATCAATTTAATCTGAGATTTAATATCATGTCTGACCCTGATATTCTGATGAATGATATTATAGATAAAGAGAATGAGTTTGACACTATACAGCTCATAAATATCTATAATGAAAAGTCATTGAAGAAAAATAATAACATCTGAACAATTAATAGAGGATTTCTGAACATAACTTCATCAAGAAACTCTATAATTGCAGGAGATTTCAATGCACATCATCTCTGATAGAATTCAGAATGTAAAAGAGCAGTAAGAGCTGATAATCTGATTGAATGAATCTTTGAGCATTCAATGAATTTAGTTAACAAGTCTGATCAACAAACATTCTTTAGAAAAGGCATGAAACAGAAATCTATTATAGATCTAATCTTCATATCACAAAATCTAATAGAAAAAAGACTTGTAAACTGATTTATTAATTTAAATGAGACATCAGAATCAGATTATGACATTATTCAATTTAATATTAAACTGAGTGAGAAATAAATAAGTGAAAATTCTCTTCTCTCTAATCTGTTTAACTTTGAAAAAGCTGACTGAAAGACAGTTGAAGAAAGTATAAAACTGTTAAAATCTGAAAGACAGAGTGAGCTGTATTGAAACTCTGGTCAAGATATCTCAAATAAAATGCTTAAGAATAGAGTGAAGCTCATTACATCTATTATTCTAGCAAGTGTTAAAGATAATATTTCATAGAGAAAGTCTTCTGAGTATTCAAAATCTTAATGAAATGAGAATATCACATCTAAAAGAAAACAATTGACTACTGCTAGAAGAGATTGAAAGAATGATATAATTTCTGATAAAGAGTTTAAAGCTGTCAGAAATGAATATTTTTCAGATATTAAAAAAGCTAAAACAGACTGCTGGAATAAATTTCTTGAAGAAGAATAAGAAAAAGAAGTTTTTAAAGCTTTTAACTATACTAAAACAAGAAGTGTAGCAAAACTTTCAATCTTAGAATATGAGTTTCAGAATGAATGATATACAGCAAACTCTTTTGAGAAAAAATGTTAAGCTTTTATAAGAACTCTCTTTCAAAACTCATCAGATTCAGATTCAGAGAAAGAGAATATATCATATCTCAACTATATTAATGAAAATGACTGGGAATGGCCTGATCTTACTCAAGATGAACTAGAGTCAGCTATCTTCTCAAGTTCAGTTAAGACTGCTGCAGGGCCTGATTCAATTAATCACTTGATTATTCAAAATATATATCTCTACTTAAAGAATGAATATTTTGAGCTCTTTTTCAATCTCTTGAAAAATGAATATCATTCTGAATGCTGGAGAGAAGCCACTGAAGTGATTCTTATAAAACCTAATACAAAAACTTCAATTTCTAAGTCATATAGAGTAATATCTCTATTGAACTGTCTAGAAAAGGTTTTAGAAAAGATAATAGCTACTCAACAATCTTTTATAAGCTCTATAAGTGATTCTCTTTTATTCAGTGAACAAATGAGAGATAGAAAACAGTGTTCTGCAATTGACACTGTTCTCTCAGTTATTCATGATATTCAAATAACAAAGCATAAGAGTCTGGTCTCAACTGCAGTTTTTATTGATATAAAAGAAGCATTTAATCATGTTTCAAAGTCAAAGTTAATTCAGACATTGAAGATATTAAAACTGCCACTTTCTTTAATAAAATGAGTTAACTATTTTATATCTAAAAGAATTATATAACTCTTCTTTGATGAAATGAAATAAGATAAGACTGAGATAAAAATAGAAGTATCATAAGAATCTTCAATCTCACTCATTTTATTTGCAATATACACTGCATATCTATTCAAAAATAGAAATATGAGAATAGTATGATCTCT